GTGGCAGTGTATATTTCCATGTTCTAGCAGAAGATTCATTCGATTTTGCTCATCCTATCGATGGAAGTAGCGTTAGGCCAGCCGCGAGGTTGGATACTTACCTGTTCTCTCTCCCTCTCTCTGTGTGTGTCTCTCTCTCTCACACACACAAACATCTCTCTCTCTCTCTCTCTCTCTCTCTCTCTCTCTCTCACACACACACACACACACACACACACAAACACATGTAGTAGTGCATATTTCCATGTTCTAGCCGAAGATTCATTCGATTTCGCTCATCCTGTCGATGGAAGTCGAGTGAGGCCAGCCGCGGTTCGGGGACTTAAAAAGTATGACCAGGGGCAGAGGCCAAGGGAGAAGGATGAAGGAGAAGGACGAGGGAGGAGGATGAGGGAGGCAGATGGGCATGAGGGAGGAAGGACGGGCACGTGAATGACGTCGCCCGTGGAGTGAGGGTGTGTCGCGCGTGTTCGTGAGTCGTGGAAGTTCGTCCATTCCGATGATACGGCTCGCTCCACTGCACAAGACACTACATGCGTTTGAACAATTTCAGGCGGAGAGTGCATTATGCGATGCGCCTCAACCTGCCATACCTGCCATGCCGATCTTGGCCCATGCATGAAGTTGGATGTGAATATGTGTGTGTGCATGTGTGTGTGTGTGTGTGTGTGTGTGTGTGTGTGTGTGGGTGGGTGCGTGTGTGTGTGTGTGACACGAAGGAGGCACGTAGAAGGAGGGAGATAACCGTGATAGTGGGGAAGGACAGGGAAATGGGACACGGAGGAGGCCGGTAGGAGGAGGGAGGAGGAGGAGGCGGCGGTGGTACATCGAGGTGCAGGGGAGGCAGGAGAGGAGGAGGAGGAGGAGGAGAAGCCAAAAAGAAGTGATAAAGGGGGAGATAACTGCCGTGGCGAGGAAGGACACGGAAACGGGACATGAGGTCGACCATATGGCAAAGACTTTAACAGCGCGTATGACAATCAATAAGGAAGGAGAGAGAACAACACAAGATGACGATGGTGGGAAATTGGAGGTGAATGTATCTGGCCGCAATTACATTGAAGTCCAGTTGTAACTGCGGTCAGATACATCACAGGAGTAACCATGGCGTTGAGGAGTGGAGAGGGGGAACACGTGGATTACAACCATAACAGCAGAAAAGACATCGCAATGAGGAGGAACTGGGTAAGGGAGACAAAACGAAGCAGATGGAGGAGAGGAGAGGGGAGGAGGAGGAGGAGAAGCGGAAAACAAGCGACAAAGGGGGAGATAACCGTGATAGCGGGGAAGAATAGGTGGGAGAAGGGTGGAGGAGGACGAGGCGGTGGCATGTCAAGGTGAGGGGAGGGCGAAGACGATGTGGATCAGGAGGACGAGGAGGGGAAGCCGAAAAGAAGCAATAAAGGGGAAGATAACCGCGACTTACCTCAATGACGAGAGAGAGAGAGAGAGAGAGAGAGAGAGAGAGAGAGAGAGAGAGAGAGAGAGAGAGAGAGAAGCAATAAAGGGGAAGATAACCGCGACTTACCTCAATGAAGAGAGAGAGAGAGAGAGAGAGAGAGAGAGAGAGAGAGAGAGAGAGAGAGAGAGAGAGAGAGAGAGAGAGAGAGAGAGAGAGAGAGANAGAGAGAGAGAGAGAGAGAGAGAGAGAGAGAGAGAGAGAGAGAGAGAGAGAGAGAGAGAGAGAGAGAGAGAGAGAGAGAGAGAGAGGAAAAAATAAAAATGATGACGATCACGGAGTCGAACCATTTTTGTTGTGTGCGTCTGGGAACTTGGCTTTCCCCACCCCTCGGAAATGGCAGATTCCGCAATCTGTCAACAAACTTTGCTTTTTTTTTTTTGTTAATTTGCAAAAATGGCAAATTCCGTGCGGAAATGGTAAATTTACACGAATCATCATTGAGCAGACGTTATCCGGCGTGGCTTTTTTTTCTGGCCGCATGCTGGTGCGGCAGCGAGAGCCATTCCCGCTCACTGCCACATCAGCATGTGGGAGGAGAGAGGAGGAGGAGGTGGTGGTGGCACGTTAAGGTACAGGGAGGGCGAAGAGGAGGTGGATCACGGCCACAATAGGAGAGAAGAGAACGAAACGAGAAGGGGGGAGACCAGACAAAGCAGATCACGACAGCATGCTAGGTGAGAGGAGGACGGAGGAGGAGGAATTGGTGGCACGTCGAGGTGCGGGGAGGGCAAAGACAACGTGGATCACAGCAGGAGAGAAGAAAACGTGACGGCACAGGGGGAGACAAGACGAAGCAGATGGAGGAGAGGAGAGGAGCAGCAGCAGCAGGACCAGAAGGAGGCACAGAGGTTATCCTGGGTGGCTTCTTTCTCTGGCCACATGCTGATGTGGCAGTGAAAGGTATTACCACTCACTGCCACGTCAGCATGCTAGGCGGGAGGAGGGAGGAGGAGAAGGAAGTGGCAGGTCGAGGTGCAGGGAGGGCCAAGACGACGTTGGATCACATCCACAACAGGAGAGAAGAGAACGCGACCAGAAGGAAGGAGACAAAACCAAGCAGATGGAGGAGAGAAGAGGAGGAAGAGGAGGACCAGGAGGAGAAGCGGAAAGGGCAAATTTCAATGCGCAGTCAATCGCATCACTTTGCAGACGTCATCCTGGATGGCTTCTTTTTCTGGCCACATGCTGATACAAATAATGTTGTAGACAGTTTTCAATCCTCTTGGCCACAGTGGTATATACACTGTATAGACAACTTTCAGTCCGCTTGGCCGCAGCACTGGATGTGTCTGTGTGATGTTTGTGAAGTGTGCATAACGTCTCTATCTCCTCACATGCTGTGATTTTCACTAGATGAACGGACCGGAGCGATCTGTGTGTTTCAAGTTGTGCGTACTTCTATTCACACACTGTGCATAAGGCTTCTGCTCAAACGCCGTGATGACTTGAACAGTCCGTGCGTCGAACAGCCTCATTTTGATTTGTGCATCTCTCTGCCCTCCCAGTCTGTGCATTTTCGTTCCTCCGCCTCCCTCCCTCCCTCCCTCCCTCCCTCCCTCTCCCCCCCCCCTCGCTGCTGCTCCCTCCTTCGGGCGGGTCCACTTGTTATTTTAATATTTTCAGTGTACTCAATTGGGACGCTAGACCCATTCTCCAGCACGTGCAGCTCCCCACCAATAGATCGAAGCCCCCAGAACACGTACTAAGGGAGGCTGCTTGTATCAGCCCCCCTAATAGCATGTTCTTGTTTTCGTTTTTCGAAAGAAAAAAAAAGACGTGCAGTTTCTCAGACAGAGGTAATTTATTCTATTCAAAATTACTTCAGGATAGTCAGGATTCTTCACCTACTTTTTCAGTTGTTCTGGCAGCCTTGGGCTGAGTGGGTGTCATTTCCTTTTTGGGCCATCCTACTATAAGGCGTTTTAGCACTACTTCAGAATAAGATCCTTTTTAAACCACAGTATTTCCTGAAGTCGTGCCTGTGAACAAGCCACAATTTTAGGAAACGTACTGGCCACTACAGGAGCGCCCAAATTCATCCGACTGGAAACGTTTCTACTTGTTTTCCGCGGCCAATGGCTGGGCCAAGTACTGGAGGTTCAAATATTGCACAAAACTTCAGAAGGAAGGCAGCTTATTGACAGCCTAGGTAGAATCAAGTTAATGAAACGGTAACTAACTAGGCTACCAGAGTGGCCCGGGGTACTGATCATCCTCTTCCTCGCCCTACTCTAAAGCTACAGCTATGGCGCTCAAGCGCCCTTCCTAGCTATGGCTACACACACACTCTTTCTCCTGGGTTCGTGCTGATTTCCTCTCCCTGGCGCTAACCTTCTCTTCCCTCCTCTCCCTCGCCCAGTAGCGTTCTGGCCACGGGCATGTGCAAGACAAGAATGAATGATTCATTGGCGCTGGCTGCCGTTTTATGCAGTTGACCACCCTTGGCGTGCCTCAGCTTCACCCTGCTCCAGTGCTGGAGATTTCTCAATCTGGGCAGTCAAGATCTGCTGTCTGCCACTGTGTCCCTGGAGCCAGTAGGCCCTGGAAACTTCTGGAGATAATGCAGACAGCCTTTGATTGTCCATCAGATCTGTGGCCGTGGTGGTCGACTGCTGAGAAATCTCTGACTCCAGTCTACTTTTCCCGTGCTGGGCCTGACTCTTGATTTTCCAGGAGTCAACTGTCTCATGTGGGCCCACAGGTTGCGTCGTGTGACGCCAGACCCTCTACCTGTTGACACTTAGGAATTTTCTCAGAGCTTTTTAAGATGAGAGATGCAACTTTTGACCCCTGAACCTAACCTAAGCTTTGGACCAAAAGTTACGAGCCTGGCCCTATGTCTCTGCGTCTGTGGATTTTGAACAGAGTTCATCACAATTTCACAAATGAAAACATTATAATTTGTCGTCTTACAAGAAGCAGTTGCCTTTCCTCCCACTGCCCCCCTTGGCCCTGTTCCCCTCGCCCCACCCAACCAGCAAGAGAATCTATCCCATTGGAATGAATCCAAAGCTGCAGCCAGGCAAACTCACACTAAGGACTTTGACGACTACATGTGGCTGTCATTGCAGACAGATGCATCACAGAAGTCCGAGTGTCAGTATGACGAAGGTCCAATTTTTTCTTTTTCTTTTTTGGCTCTTTCATTTGTTTTTGGAACTCGTAGCTTTTTTTTTCCCCCTTCCCCCCCTGACTTGCGTGCTTGTGCTTTGTCTTCCCTCACACCTCCCCCGTGCCCTCCAGCCTAAGTGTTGCTTCCTTGCTGTTTGGCTCCTTGCTGTTTGGCTCCATGTGGGGAGAGAGAGAGATTTGGCTCCATGTGGGGAGGGAGAGAGAGAGAGAGAGAGAGAGAGAGAGAGAGAGAGAGAGAGAGAGAGAGAGAG